CGGAAGGAGCTTGTTTTCTTGGAAAATATAGTCATTGGGCAGGGAAGACAAAAATATGACCGGGCTGGTAAAAATGCTATTGTTAGAGGTAATAAGGTGTTAAGGGCAGTGCTTTTACAAGTGGAGAGCATTTTGTAAAGCTTTGAGAGCAGGGTGGCAGAGGGATAAATGGCATCTGGGGAGAGAGAGGCCCAGCAGGACTGGCTGACCTATCTTTAGCAGTTTCTATGCCCTTTGCATTCCTATAGAATGTTAGTGCCAAAAGGGACCAGCGAGACCATCTTGTCCCACCCCCTCGTTTCTTAGGCCCAGAGAGGAGAGAAAGCAACGTGCTCACGTCACCAAGTAGTTCAAGGCGGGACAGGAGCTGGCCACCCCAAGTCTGCCAGTTGCATGCACTTCGTGTCTCATTAACTGCATGAAGTCCAGTGTTCTTTACACGGCACAGCAGTTTTCAATCTTTCTGTGTTTCGAGGACTTTCAGAGGAGGGGAGGAAGCTAGCAGCTGGCTCTTAGGTTTGGGCCCAAACCACCTTCAATCAGAGCAGATCTACTTGTTTTCACTATTAGTCTTCAATGAGATAAAGTTGTAAGAAAAGGTTCTGGGACTGAAAAAAGTGAGAAAACCAATGTTTCCTCCTTGATCCACCTTTGGGCAGCTCTCTCAGGCTGCCACACTGTTCCTCAGGCTTCACCCTATTGTCACTCGTGGCCCTAGACCTGAGCCACTCTCTTTGACTTAGTTTTTGCACTAGATTGCTAATTGATCAGATTTCGACCTTTCTGCTAGTTCTTGCTTTCCTGCCCCAACCCTCCATCTTTCCTTTGCCCTCTGGACATCACGTTCAATGCCGTTCGCCCCAAGGTGACATCAGTTCCTCTAAACTAGGATTCTGATCTCTTCCCCACTCACTGCATAAGCTGTCATGGGCCACCTTGTGTGACTGTCCCTGCACTTGACTCACATGGCACATCTTTAATCTTTCTGCGTATGAATTCCAAATCTACTTCTCCCCACAAGATCACCAGCCCAGGTTCCAGACTTATATGTTCCAATCCATCTATCTGGATATTTTCACATGAATGTTCTATGTCATAACCTTTCTACACAAAACCGTTTGTACGTCTGTGTTTGCAATGTCATTCAGCAGGACCGGCATCTAAGCCAGAGGGGAGGATCAGAGAGGCAACCTGCTCCCAAACTAGTCAATTACCTAAAGTTGCCAATTTTCCCTTTCTTTCAATAATTCCATCTCCTCTCCATTTCCACTACCTCAACTCTGGCACGGGCCCTCATTGTCTCACACCTAGCCTACCACAATAAGCTCCTTAACTCCTGTTCTCGGCTCTGCTATATCTTCCCCACATTTGTTCTCTATACAAACAAAAGATTGACCCACTCGGAAAGCAAAGCAGGTCCCGCCAAGTCTGGGACCAGCCCCTTACGATGGCCTGCTGGCTAAAGCTTTCTGTGGTCTTGCCCCTGCCTCCCTCTCCAGCCTCATCCCTCCTCCCTCCCCGCCTCATACTTTCACTCCAGCAAACCAAACTAGATGCAGTTTCACCGTCTTGGTGTTTCTTCCCTTTTACTCTTTGCGTTTGCTGTCCCCTCTGATTGTCATGCCGTCCCCATCTCCTGGCCAAATTGAACTCTTCTTTGAAGACTCAGTTGGACGTCTCCCCTGCCCTGAGCCTTCCCTGTGTTGCCTGCACACGAACTGGCTTATGCCTTTCCCTGTGGCTCTCTCGGCACCCTGTGCCTGCCTCTCTCTGTTTGTCTATTCCACGAATGTTTGTCGATTGCCTGCTTCGTACCGGACACAGCGCTAGAGGCATAGCAGGAACTACCATAAAGAAAACCCTGCCTCTTGGATGTTAAATTCTACCCGGTGAGAAAGACAGAAGCAAGATACCTAAGTAACATGTTCAGTATGTTAGAGAGTTGTAAGTACTAAGAAGAAAAATAAAACAGAGAAGGGGCAAAAGCAGTGAAGCGAGTCGGGTTTCAGTCTAAAACGGTGACTGAGAAAGCCTCATGGAGGAGGTGACGTTGGAGAAAGATGAGGCCCGCGAGGGGGTGAGCCACGCAGATATTCGGGCAAAGAGGCAAGAGCAAGGGCTAAGGCCCTGAGGTGGCGGTGTGCCTGGCATGTTTGAAAAAGGGCAAAATGCCAGCCTAGATGGGGGAGAGTAAACACGCAGGAGATGTCAGAGAGGTCACGGGGGCAAGGAGGGCAGAGCACATCCAGTCCTGTGTGCCCTTGTTGGCTTTTGTAAGAACAATGGCTTATACTCTGAGGGAGATGGGAGCCATTAAGCAGAGGAGTGACGTATGCTTTACATTTTAACCAGAACTCTCTGGCTGTGGTGTTGAAAATAGACCCTAGGGAGGCGAGGGCAGAAACAGGGAGACAAATTAGGAGGCAATGGCAACAATCTAGGCAAGAGGTGATGTCGGCTTGGCTCAGGGATTTGGTGGAGAAAGCGGTAAAAAGCGATCATGTTATGGGTGCATTTTGAGATAGACACGAGAAGATTTATTGAATTAATAAAATCATTGATTACTGAATTAGTCACTGATTATCTAAAAGGCAAAGAATTGTGTTTGGGGAAGGGGAGAGAGAGGGCTAAGTCAACATAGTCCACAGTTCCTTGTCTTCTGAAATGCTACAATTTAAGCAAAGCAATATGACAAGTACGCATAAATGTTAAATAACCATAAACAAACAGTGGAGTAGGATTGGAGTAACAGCCTCTTCATGAGTCAGGAGCAGCTAACGGCTGCAACAAGCGGCCCCACCGCTCAGGGGTCACTTCCTCAAACGTGTTCTCCCTCACTCGCTGTCCATGCGGGTCAGCAGCGGGTGGGGAGGGTCGTGCTCTCCTCATCATGGTCAGTCAGCCTCCTTACACTGACTGGCAGTACCCTCCTCAAAGCTCTCCGGGTCCTTTTCTGCATCCTCTTCTCATTTTGCCATTTATTTTAATAGTTTAAAAATCCTTTTATATTTTTATCCAGTTTCCTGATTACTCATCCATTCTAACAGAATATGAGTGGAAGAGAGCGCATCAGGTCTGGTCCGAAGCTGTTAAGAATGCTTCTGACTTTCTCAAACTCTCTTTCCTCAACTCCTGACTGAAAGCATAAGATGTGAGGGAGGCTGAGCCGTGTAGCCCATCAGTGTGCCAGGGCAGGTCATGGGTAAGCAGCCACAGCTTCCATCACAGCTTCTCAACTGGCTCCCTGAAGTCCTTCTCATATGATGCCCAGCCCATTCTCCACCTAGTTGCCTGGATCATCTTCCTAAACCACAGAGTAGATTATATGATTCCCCTGGTTAAACGCCTCCTCTGCTCCTTATTTCTTTCACGTTCCTTGGGAGGACACACAAGGCCTCCTTTCCAAGCTCACTTTTAGCCATCCCTTACCGTGTTCTTGACCGTGTGCCATCTTGTGCTTCTATGGACACACCATACTCTTTCTTCCTCTGTGCTTTTTCATGGGTGTTTCCTTTTGTCTAGAATGCACATCCTTTCTCCACCAGATGAGCCCCACTCATCTATCAAGACCCTGTGAAGCCTTTGTGACTTCCTAGGCTAAGTGTGCTTCCTCCTTCCCCGTGGGCTCTTCGCAGTTATATCTGCTTTGTCTGTACCTGTGCCATCCAATATGGTAGCCACTAGCCACATGCGGCTCTTTGTGTACTTGAAATGTGTCTAGTGCCACTAGTTGAAATGATATTTTGGATTAATTGAGTTCAATAAAATTTGTTATTTTACCAGTTTCTTTTTACCTTTTAAAATGTGGCTACTAGAAAATTTTAAATTATGTTTGTGGGCTCACATTATATTTCCAGACAACCCTGGCTCTAGTATTTTTCATACTACAATGTAACTATTTGAATGCATGCCTGTCTCCTGCACTGGAGTATGAGCTCCCCCACTGTAGGGAAAATTCTTACTCAGCCTGGTGTCCAAAGGCCCTTGAATGGAGCCCGGTCCATAATGGAATCCCCACCCCCAAGTGCTGAGTAAACGAACGGACTGTATAAGAGAAACACAAACAGAATTGGTGGTGGACGGGGAGAATTTTGACTGACGGAAAAGACCAAGTTAGAAGGAAGTGGTTTCACAGGAAAAGCAAGTGTGAATAAGGCAGGGATTTCTGAAAGCAGGGAAGTAGGTAGAGTGTGAAATCAACGATTTGTCTGGGATGCAGGGCTATGGAAAATAAGGATGGAAAGATCTGTGATGGGCAAATTGTGATGGGCCTCCCAATGCCAGAATGCAGGGTCTGGACTTTCCTCTATAGGCAATGGGGAGTCATGGAGGAATTGTGAGCAGGAAGTAGCTGCCATCATCATATATAACACAATGGTCGTGAATAACTGTAGCTTGTAGTTTTACAGGTTGTACTATTTGTCAGTATGAATTATTTGCATTTATGCGCTTGGTTTGTTTTTTTCATCTGAATGCTTGGGGTTTAGAGCCCCAATTTCAGAATCCCCAGGCAAACCCTCTGCTTGACTTGCCATGCCCCATCTCAAATCCCCCAGGCCCAAACCTTTCGCAGGGAAGGAAGAAAACCCAGTTCCCATGAGGTTGCCTGCTGAAGTTTACTTTTTGTTCCCTGGGACGTGACTGGGGGAGCCCTAGGGAACCAGGCTGGAGGATTCCAGAGGTTTTTTGTGCTGTGGACCCAGAGCTTTTGTTCCTTTGAACACAACTGCTTTGGAAACAAGCGAGGAGTTGGCCACAGCACCCAGCTCCAGGCTTTGATCCGGGACTGCCGGCCCTTTGATGAGTGCGTAACCAGAGCCAGCCTTGGGGATAATTAAGGCTTTTCTTCATAATGAGGTCCAATTGACTCCTTAATTATATTTTTCCCCGTCTTATATAAAAAAAGTGAACCACCTAGGTTGGTTCATCAAAACGTGTGTAATATGTGATGGGAAGAAGGAAAGAATCAGATTGAAATCTGAGCTCTCGTTCTTTATTAGCAGATGAAAGCAGAAGCCTGGGGAGTGAGGCTGAATCCAGAGATGGGATCAGGGCAGCAGCTTGACAGCAGACTGTGACGGCTAATAAGCAAGTCTCCTTGGGGACACACGGAACACTGGATCAGAATATCAAATCCCAGGAAGGAAGCACTGGAAGGGATTTGAGATATTTTGGTATCAAACTGTCATTCTGTAAATGAGAAGTCTCAGGTCCAGAGAGGAGAATTGACTTGTCCAAGATCACACTTTCCATTGTGCCAGGCAATGAGTTTCCAAAGGCTCTAGCCAAAATTGTGATGTCATAATAGCTCCCCCTTGCATATTATTTTATGCTTCAAAAGGCTCTTTTCTAGCCGTTCTCTCACTTGATCCTCATGACAATCCTGTGAGCTGAGTCACACAGTAGGAAGTGTTGCCTTTTCTTAAGAATCCGGATTTCAGAGTGGTTGAGCACTCGCCTGAAGCCACACAGTAAATGCTAGAGCTGGGAAACGTACGCAAGTCCAAGTTCTTTCCTTTTTGCTGTGCAGCCCTTCTGTACTCTCATCACTGATTTATTTACTCATCAAACACTAGTTGAGATGCCCAGGGCCAGCCCCTATGCTAGGCAATTTTCTTTGGCATTCCCCAGCCTCTTTCTTCTAAGCCTTATCTGCCTTCATGGAGTAATTAGGTTCTTAGCCATGGGAACATGATCTGGTTTGAGTTGTAGGAAAATCTCTTCCATAGAGTATGAAAGATGGCTTGGTGAGAGTAGAGCCTGGAGGCAGAGAGAGTAGCAGGACAGCAGAGGGAATGAGGAGGCCTGGAAAGCGGAACTGGCAATGAGAACTGAGAGATGGAAGGGCAGCTTTGAGAGATTTCAAAGCAGAACGTGGTTGCTGAGGAAAAGAGAGCAATTGAAAGAAGTCTGAGGTTTTATAGTTTAGTTACTTGGTAGGTCCAAATAGTCTTAACCTGGCCTGGGAGGTAAAATAAAGAGCCCAGGTGTCTGAGGGTCATTCGAGTAGAAATGTCTCATAACGCATTGTGTGCATATACGAGTCTGGGGTTGAAGAGAGAAGGAAGGCCTAGCGTCGTCAGAGAGTTGGTGACAGCGGCCCGTGGGAGTGGGTGTGACCACCCAGGAAAGTATGAAAAGCAGGAAGAGGGCTTAGGGTGATTTCTGAGCCAGACGCTGCTTCTGCTTCTAAAGTACTCACCTGGGCTAAGTCATTAACCTCAGTTCTCATCTGGAAAAGCTGGGGCAGGTGACCCACACACTGCCTTCCAGCACTGGCATCCATTGCATCTGTGATTGGATTCACATAATGACGCAAGGATATTGCAGTAATTCAGAGTCTGGCCCTGCCTCCCAGCTGACTGGATCTCCTGGCTGGTGTTAAGGAAGCCTGGCGGCCTCACAAAGACGCAGTGCCTGGTGCCCTTCTTTTACTGGCTTCACGTGGCGTGTAGTTGAGTAACGGCCACCTCGCCAGCCTCTATTTCTCTGCATTGCTCTGTCCTCTGCCCGAGGTTTTATTACTCAGTGAGCGATGTTTGCTGGAAACACTTTCTTTATGACTTATTAATAAAAAGTGAGAAGGGAGAAATGGAAGAAACACAAGGTAAGAGAGCGGGATTGTATCTAAGTAAAACACTTTTCAAAGTGTCAAAAGGTCTTTGGGGAAATAGCAAAAATAAATGAGTCAAAGTGTGAAGGGAGTGAGAGGCAGGAGCCTGGCTTCAGGAAATAAGTTCTCAGTAGCAGCAATTTGAACTAAAAACAAAATAAAACTTGACAAAACAAAAACTAATAAGAATCATTGCCACATTCTTCATCATGGTCACCCTCACCACAACAGCTCTTGTTGGCGTATTATTTCAAGACTGGATTGATCTGAAAAATGACCAGGTCATGAGGGAGTAATACAACAAAGTTGACGATGGTGGCAGGTGGATCCAGGAAGGACAGAGTGATGAGAGCTGGTCCTACCTGTCCCTGGGCTCCAGCAAATGATGGCCCTGAGTCCCTCAGGGCTGGGCAACATCTCCAGGGCTGGACAATACCTTGGATCAGCCTGTGTTTCAGAATCCAGGGTCTCCAGGGTCTCCAAACCTCCCCTAGAATTGTCTGCTCATTGAAAAGCAGGAAGTAGCCACCAAGAATGCAAACGCACACCCCGTAGGTGAAGTGAGGGACATGTGAGGGGAAGGAAGCTGCATACTTCGTGAACCTTTGGGATTCTTTGTGAGACATGAGTGAAAAGGTGCAGCCTGCCAGAAGCCTTGAAAAACTCATCACGCTTCAGTGATGGCTCCTAAGCTGAGCCTTCTGAAAAGGTTTTTGTGAAAAGAAAAGGATGCTGCTCTCCTATTCTTTGCTTCTCCACTTCTGAAAGTTCCCAATTTCAAGAGGTTTCCCATTCTTTCCAACTGCCCTACTGCCCTAGTGTCCAGGACACTGGCCAACATTAAGGGCGCTTCTTTCAGTTCTTTGCTTCATGAACACCCACTTCCATGGCTTTGTCCATGTTGATTCTACCCAGAGCCCCTCCCCACTTCCCATCCCAATTCTCTCTCTTGAAATCCTACTCATCTCCACAAAGCACTACTGGATGCTTCCAAACGGAAGGAATTTCTCTGTTTGCTCTACTTTTCATTGTGCGTATCGCATTCATGCATATTTTATGAATATCTGTACACATTGAGGACTTATCGTCCCTACTAGACCACAAATTCCCTCAGAGAGGGGACCTTGTCTTATTGATCTGAATAATGTTCAGAACAGGGGGCCTGGGAAACTTTCCAGCTATAAGAATAGTGAGTAAAAATGAAGAAAGCTAGATGCTTTCCCAGCATGTAGCATCATAGCTCAGCAAACTGAACTGAGTGGCCTAAACCCAACTCATCCTTCAAGGCCCAAGTCAAATGCCCTTTGCTCTTAAAGCCCTACCAGATATTTTCATTTGGAAGTGTGCTTTCTCTTCCTGGAGTCCCTATAAAGGGCATCAATGCTGTTCACCAAATATTTCCAGTTCTTCTTCTGGACATGTGGTCAGATTGTATTTCCCTGGCCCCATTGATGCTCAATGTGGTCATGTGACTTGCCTTACCCATAAGATAAGAGCAAAAATTATTTGTGTCACTTCTGAGTGGGAACTTTCAGAGCCAGCAAAGATTCCTTCTGTCCTCTTTCTGCCGCCTCAGCAACTGTGCAAGCCCAGAGATGGAGCTTCCCTTTAGGTGGAGTTCTAAAGTGAGGACTCATAGAGCAGAATATCTCTGCTGACCCATGATAGAAATATAGGAGGGGCAGCAAATAAACCTCTAGTTTTTATAAATTTGAATTAGGATTGCTTATTACTGCAGCATAACATAACCGATCCTGTCTGCTATACAACATAGTACATTCTAATATTACATTATTTGTGGAAATGTCATCTCCCGAATCGTTGCTGAGCATTTATTCCTCTGTTCATTCATTTATTCAGTCTTTCACATATCCAACAGTTATTTGTAGAGCACCACCATGTATTAGACATTGTGCTGGTTTCCTGAGACAGTACAGTAAGCAAAGCCAAGTACGTGTTTGATCTGGGTGGGAGGGTGGATGAGTAATCAGTGAGTGTCAGTGAAGTATGACGCACACCACTGGGGGAAATTCAGAATGCTATGGGAGCACAGAGGAGGGGCATCTAAACTCTTAGGAGTTTGGGAAGATCAGGGAAGGATGGCTGGAGAAATTCCCATGTAGGCCAAGACCTGAGACCAGCAGGAGTCATTCAGGTGAAGGGGTGAAGGGAAGAGGAAAGTAGAATAATCTAGGCAAAGGGGGTGACATGTGTGAAGGGAAGATGGGCAAGAAAGGACAGGGGAGGTTCAGAGACCTGCAAGTCATGGAGTGTGGCAGGAGCATGGAATCTGAGATGGGCGGGATGCTGAAGCTGGGCCGGGTAAGCTGGGTTTAGATCTAGAAGAGCCCTGGATGCTAAGTTAAAGACTTTCCTTTGGACTTTATGGTAAAGGCAATGGGGAGCCATTGAAGGGTTTAAAAGTAAGTGAGTGACATGATCATATTTGTGTTTCAGATTTTAAAGGTCATCCTGGCTGCTGCAAGGAGAAGAGATTGAAGTGGGGCAGCATCACGGGCACCTGCGGGTACAGCTTGTGTCTGATTCACCTTAATGGCCATTCCCCTCCTCTCCCACCAAGCCCCAAGCACCACATCCACATTCCAGAAATGCTAATTGGATGAAGAGATGACAACAGGCATGCGAGTCCTCAGCCCTGCTGAGTCTCTGTCAGTAACACCTCTGGGCTCCGAGCAGCCGCTCACGAACGGCAGCCACTTGGAGTTTGGGGGGATGATGGTTTTAGATGCCAGTATTCTGTCATGAGCAAACCTGAGCAAGCCCCAGCTTCTCAATAATAGCAAGCCTGTGCTGGCCAGTGCAGGCCTGCCCTCTTCCCCAGGAGACAGAAGCATCTAGGCACTCCCAGAGGGAAACCAGCTGCGTGGGTGGGGGTTTATGAGTGCACATTGGGCTTTGCCACATCACACCTCAATCTGGCTGCAGGCTCTGCTGGATCTGGGCTTTTCTCAGACCGCCGAGCCCTGGAGGCAGGTGGGGCAAATGGAGGCTCCTACGAGTCACAACAGAAAGGGAGGTTTTATAACCCTTGGTGGGCCGAGGGTGGGGCTTGGGAGGCACCAAAGCCCGCTATTTCGGGCGGAGAGTGGCGCTTTTGCCTGGGCGCTGGGCTGTGGGCCGAGCCAGGTGCTGCCGAGCAGGAGGGCTGCTCACACTCCGAGAGCCAGGCCGGCAATTCCAGAAGGCAAAACTTCAGTGTATTCCAATTTTCCAAAATAGAAAGAATAAAACAAATCAGAGCAGATGTTCCAACATGTAATTATCAACTAATCAGTTTGGACTTTTTTTTAAAAAGGGAAATTTCAAAATAGCTCCCAGATTTCATCAACTGCAGCCCTGGTGGAGGGCTGGCTGGGTTGGAAAGGAGTTACTGCAGAGGGCTGCAGGTGCCCAGGTTGGGGGTGGGGGTCGGGGGGCAGGTGCTGCTGCTGCGGGGCACAGCAAAGGAGGAGCAGCGCCAGGCTGCAGGTGCCAGGTTGAGGCAGCTGGGCCTCAAGATAAGCAGTTTCCCTGTGGGAACGCTGGGAGTTGGGATGAGTCAGCTCCACGGCTCACCCTGCCCTGCATCTTGTCTCTGGCAGCCTTGCAAAGTGGCAGGCCTGGAAGAACATAAGTTGACCACTTTACGCTCAAGCTTAAGGCCTTGGCCACCCCCTGATACTGTCTCTTTCCTTTTAAGTCAATAAGATGCAGAAAAGAAACGGGACATGTGCTTGGATGGTCAGCAATCCTTGAGCTGTGGAAGACCTGGGCCCCTTAGTTTACTTCTGGAATTGGGTCTGGAATTTGCAAGTCTGAAGTTTCCCTTTAAATGCTGTCGGGGGGCCTTTGAATGATTTCCTAGCAGCAAATAATAAGACGGAGGTAGCAGAAGAAAGGAGGGAAGGGAGAAGGAGAGAGGAAGAAAGGAGTGTGGAGAGGGGAGGAGGAGAGAGGGAGTGAGCCCTAAAGGACTGAGACACCACGGTGGCATCTATAATTTTATTAGAAATTTACGTTAGAGTTCTAAGATGTTAGACATTGTTTAGAAATGGACATAGACTTCCTGCCGATCGATGCATTTATATGTGTAACTAGAGCTCTACAGGTTATCTGCACCTTAAGCAAGTTACGTTTGCTGGAATGAGCGCTCTGCGGTCCCCAGAAACCCTCAGGAACAGTGTTATTAACACACAAACACACTTCACAGCTTCCTGCAGTAGGTGCTTGATCCCAGGTTTCCCAGCCCTGCGGGCAGTCCACGGCCGCTTCCTCACTGCTATCATTTAGCTGCAACCTAGTTCCCAGGTGAGGACAGGACTGAACCCCCTCCTGAGTGCCTGCTCTCTGGGAACCAGTGTCCAAAGACCACACAGGTGGCACAAGGCCCAGTGGTCTCAAGAGCGGGCTCCTTCGGGCTGCCTTGGGCAGTCCCAGCCTCACCCCTTGCTAGCTGTGCGTCTTTGCTAAGCTGCTTAACCTTTCTGGCTTCCATCTCCTGTCTGTAAAGTGAAGCTAATGATAGTACTTATTGCACAGGGTGGCTGCGAAGTTTACAGGAGGGAACTCACAGGAAGTGTTAGCACATGCTCGGTAAAACGCTGGCCCTCTGAGCAGAGCGTGCCTCCCCATGGCCTGTTTGTGCAGGGCCTGGAACCAAGAGGTCGTCTGACTGGGAGGAAGTGGAAGATGTTCTGTGGGGTTGACTATTCCCATCCAAGAGAAGTTCTGCCCGTGCCTGGAAGCTGCTTGAGACTCTCTCTACTTTTTTTGATTCTAAGCCTTTGCACTGGCATTCCTTCTACCGTGAATGCCATTTTAGCTCCTTGCCATCTTTGTATAGCCAAATTCTGTTGACTCCTTGAGGACCAGATCAATGCTCACCTCCTGCAGGAAGTCTTCCGGGTGCTGCATCCCAAAGCCATCTCTGGCTCCCCTGAATTCTCTGAGCAAATACATCAGTGTATTTCTTGGTATGACTTATGCTCTCCAGCTTGTGGTTCTGTCATTTGTGTACATACTTAGCTCCCCTAAGAGACTAAGTGATCCTTGAGGAAAGGGTCTCTACTGGGTCCATCTTGAGGAGGACCCCACCCCGCTCTGTGCCTGCGGCAGGGTAGGTGCTCAATCCATGCTTTTCAGAGTGTTCGTGAAGACAACTTGTACCCTGCATGCAGCTTGGCTTGTCAACAGTGCAGTGGAGAAGGAAGCCACAAACCAGCCTTCCAGCTGAACAACAGTGAGGACCTATAATCTAGAGGGAGGCAAACGAGTGAGGAAAAGTTCTCTCTGTTACCTCTCTACCATCATATTTCAGGGGCTTTGGCATGCTGGAAATGGAGTGGTCTATCCTTGGCCTTTTGATGAGAATAACTGCATGGACTTTGTCCACCTTCCTTTTAATTTATTATTGAGAGGTGGCTTAGCAGAGTGGTAAAAATAAACACTTGAATCAGATTGCCCGGGTTTGCATTTCAGTTCTACCACTTACCTGCTGTGCAGCATTGTGCAGATGACTTGACCCCTCTGTGCTTTTTCTTCAACTCAGAAATGCAAACAATAATAGTATCTGCCTTTTAGGGTTGTCGTCAAGTCAAGAAAGAAGTACCCTACGTAAAGTACTTAGGCAGTACTTGGCACACGGTAAGCACCAGGTGGTACTTACTATTCCATACCTACAAGTCAAACCACGGAAACAATCATACTGGGCTCTGAGGGCACAGAAAATAAAGTCAAGAGATCCAGGTTCAAATCCGAAGCTCAAGCTACATGTTCTCTAACCGTAAGTGAGGTACTTAACTTCTTTGAGCGTCTGTAAAATGAGAGTTGAATTTGTTGATTTCTAAAAGCTTCTTTCAAGCTCTATTTTAGTGTGTTTATGAATATTTGGGAGGAGACGAGGCAGCAGAAACAAACATTGTGCACACTCAAATGCTAACTCTGCATACCCTTTCTTCACCCTCTCTATCCTATTTCTTATCTCCTTTTCTCTTCTCTCCCCCGTTCCTTACAGAACGTCCAATCTGTAGTCTCTCTCTCTCATGCATGCACATGCACACGCATGCATTGCTTCCTTCTCCTTATGACCTCATTTAATCTCCTTCCACCTCTCAGTTTCTCAGGAAACCTCCGGGTTAAGGCCCTGGGCAGGGTGGCGGCAGCCGGGACTGGGCCGGCTGCTCCATCGGCTACTGTAAAGCTGACGAGCCTGCAGGAGGATTATGCTTTATTGGATATATAGGCCCTGGCTTTCCGTGGGCTGAGCTTTCCACGAAGCCTCAAGAACCATGGGCTTGACGAGGAGTCAGGGCACCGGAGAAAAATGAAAAAGGATTTTTTTTTTTAACTTTTTTAATAAATGATAAAGAAGGAAGAGAAAATTAATAAACTCCAGACCCCTCCCCTTGCTCATTTCTCACCCTGGTACAGAGGGGTGTGCTCCCACGTGGAGGGGGTGCCCCATTCTGTGTGGGGGCCTCTCTGCCCCTCGTCCAGCCAGCAGGCTGACCTGGTAGAGAAGCTGACTGGAACTGCTTTAATGACAGGGGAACCACATTTATCTCCCGAATAACCCAGGAAGTATCAAGAGCCTGGGGGATCACTTGGGAACGCCACACCTCTTGGTAGCCCCAGTCAACAGAAAAGACTGAAAGGATAAACCATATTGTGGATATTAAAATGACCACTCTGTTGTGAAATGATCGTAATGCTAGATGGGAAGCTTATTTGTTTTAGTTTTCCTACTCAGAAGAATAATGTCTTGGAATGATTTTGTCTGTAGAATCCAAAAGACCTGAGAAATGGTGCTTCTATGCTCCTCCGAGATGGGAATAGGGTCAGCATCCTCCGTTGGAAGTTGTGAGCCTATTTAGAGGGTTTTTCCTTCTGCCTAAGATCTCTTTGTCTCATTTTCTCACTCTGCTGTGTCTTTATCTCTTTCTCAGTTGCTGACTCTTTCTCTCTCCCTCTCTCCACTGCCGCTCTCTTGCATCCCTTCCCCAACCTTCACGGAGAAGCTCCAATTAAAGCAGAAATGGCAGTTTGGCTCCTGAGCTGACATCTCCGTTGCTGCAGAAGCTCTCGCAATTGACAGAAATCCTTGACTTTCTTACCTCCTATGTGCTATGCGAAAAGAAAAAAAAAAAATTACTGCAACCCCACTAACCCCGTCCTGTTCTCCTGTCTTTCCTTCTCCCGCTCCTTCCCCAGCAACCCTGCTCACCCAGGCTCTTCCCCTAAACCCAGGGCGGAACGTCTTTGGACAGGAGGGTATTGATGCCACTGTTCTGAACTCTCTCCTCAGCTCTCCCATCGCATCCTGGCTCCTCTACAGGGTGGAAGTGTCTTCCACGTCGCATTTCAATTAGGATTTGAAGGAAGCTGCAGAGGTCCCAGCCTGTTCTTGGGAACCCCCTCACTTGCCTGCCCGCAACTCAGAAATGTCAGGTTTTGTAGTTCGGTGGTTCCCAACACTGTTCACTAACGATTACATTTTGTGAACATTACCCTGAAAGGCTGGGGCAGAGA